GTAAGCAGCTGCTAGTTATGAGTACTTTTTACTGAAGTATATTTCAAAGCCTCTTTACTTTTACTTGAGTTAAGAAGTTTAGTCACTACTTCTACTTTCACCAGAGTATTTTTAAACACGAGTATCTGTACTTCTACTTGAGTAAAGGATGTGTGTACTTTTGCCATCTCTTATATACAGGGTGGTGGTCTTACTTGAGGTGGGGGTGCGGTGGGGGTAGTGCGTCGGGTACGGAGCCGCTCTGTGGCTCCTGAGGCTTGAGTAACGTTCACAATACGATCCGGAGGAATGACCCGCGGAGCCGCTGAACTGAGGCGGGCTGCTGCTGGGGCAGAGGGGGCTCTGACCGGGGAGGAACCAGCCTCCGACTGAGGGAACACAGGACACATAACGTCAATTCAATTCAAAGGGTTTATTCTCATATGCACATAAGATACAGTGTAGAAATGGCAATGAAAATCTTATCAGACTCAGGTTGACACGTACGAGGAATTTGACTTGATGTCGTGGTGCATACATAAAAGTAAAACAACAATTAAAAAACACAGATAGCGAACTATTTTAAGGAAACTATAATAGCTTACAGTGTTCTTAAAATAGTTTGCTATCTGTGTTTTTTTTTTAATGTTGTATGACCTGAGCTCCTCCAACAATGCAACATATATAATAAATCACAAAAATACAAAATAGTGCAAGAAGTCTATATACATGTAAATAGAATATGATATGTACAAGAACAGAATATGAAATTAAATAATGTACATTAAGATCAAATTCAATATGGTCAACTATTCATATGAATAAATAAAGTGCAATATACATTTATCATATCAAAGGAGTCAGTGTGAAAGCATAGTTTGATTTGATGTACTATGATAGCATTTTAAAAGAGTAGGAATGAAAGACCCTCACGCGGAGAGTATCCGGACTGTTGGATGTCTGCAGTGTGATCAGAGATGTCTTTGTGGTCACTCCTGCAATCCAAAACAAAACTAATTAGAAACTTTTTCCACATAGAACTTAAGAAAATAAGTGCTTTGCAAGATAATGAAAACAACAGATCAAAAAACAATCAATGATGTCAAATTAAACAATATGAGAAATAGGTAAGTAATGCTTTTGAATTGAACTGGCTTAAGGATGTAAGTTAAAGTGAATTAGGGCGACAAACAGCTCGAAGGTATAATACAAAAATTGATTATAAGTATTTTCTCGGGGACCAGAAAAGGTCTTCAGAAACTCTAAGGAATGATTTGAGGTGTTTACCTTTCTTTGGCGTCCAAGAAGGCTTTGGCGAAGGGGTTGTGCTTTATCTTCAGAGCTGTAATCTGTAAGAAGGACACGAGTTAGCATTTTAATCAACATTCAAGACGAATGAGTGTTTTTTCTTCTTCTCCATGCATACCTCTTCATTCTGGTAAGCAGTGACTGCGATGAACTGAGTTTCGGGGAAAGACTGACTGCTGATCATCTTCTGGACGCCTCCAACCTTCACGATGTGGATCCTCGGCTCGTATTTGTGCAGAGAATTCAGCATGATCTGTGGGAAAACAACAATAAATGTTGTTATTTATCAGTATGACAAAGAACAGGATGAATACTGTAACCAGGCAATGCAGTACTTTAATCGGATGAAGTGAAGTAAGTGACTTTTTTAAGTTATCAAAATTATTTTGTGTGTTTTCGAAATGTGAGTACATCTTACATTTCCTTAAATAAGGGGAGGGTTTTGGAATATGTATTATTATAAAGGGGAATTTAAAAGCATTTCAGATCAAATAACCTCATGACATTATGCTTCCCTTGTGAGATGAGATAAGATAAGAAGTACTTTATTGATCACAATTTGAGAAATGTTTGCGTTGCAGCAGAATACAAATACATGGCATTGTACAATACAAATTAAAAGACAAGAAACAAACATTCCGAAATGTCAACATCTCAATATAATTACATATTGTCTTTTTTGTATCCAGTAAAGCTGATTTGGCTGAAATAGTATTAAAAAAGTGCTTTTCAAATCACATACATATTAATATAATGAATCCGTTTCTCACCTGTCCTCCGCCGTTCAGTTTGTTGGAGAGTTTCACTTTGCTGAAGGACACTGGAGCTTTCATCCAGTGCGCTCCGAAGTTTGGAGAGTCCGGGTGGATGTACACGCAGCTCGGGCTCTGGGGCTCCGGTTTTCCGCCGGGAACCCACTCCCCGTTCACGTATTTCCACCGGTTGTTGTCCGCGGCCACGAAATCCAGCAGCACCGAGTACATGGCGTTGGGGTCCAGGCCGCTGACACTGGCTCTGAGCACCGGGAACATCCTCCTGGAGAAAAAAACAACAAGGGTGGGATTTGTAAGGTTATGTTTGTGGGAGTTTGATTTTTACGCACGTCCTTTTTTATTTAGTTCTGTTTTAACCTAGGCTTCTGAGGCCTCGGGAGCTTTTGTCAGATCACTTAAGTACACGCAAGCTTGTGTGATATCAAAATAAACCCGAATTTAACATTTGGGTATTTTTTAGAAACGAAATAATACTCCTCACACTGAAAACTCCGTGCGTAAAACGCGAGCAAAATGTGCGCAAATCGCCACCATTGGTGCTGCTGCTTCTCCAAAAATAATCTATTTCTTTTTCGACCTACCTTCCAGTTTTAGTGACAATCATCTCGTTGGTCAACTCTTTGAACTTGGTCCATAAGTCTGCATCATCCAGGGTGAGTTTAATATCCCTCTCCGAGGCGTCTCCCTTCTCGCTGCCCTTCTGGAACTCGCTCTCCACGGCGCTCAGGAGATGCTCCAGGCGCTGGTCAGTGTTGGAAGAAGTAGTCATATTTCCAAGCAAAAAAAATAAAAATCCCAAGATGTTTAAAGTGTTTGTGGAGGGCTTAGAGACTCTGACAGAGAAAGGCCCGAGAGATACTGCTGCCCAAAACCCGAGGCCTCATGCTTTAAGGGCCCCCAGGGACCTCATGGGGATACGGGGCATGGCTTGTGCGATGAGGGGCGTGGCCTGTGCGCAGGCATCGTCTCTCAAACTCCTCCCACCAGACTGAACCTCCCTCTACTGTATATATTACATATTTTGTGAGTTTTTAAACTTCCCTCTCAAACCAGCGCCATTAAAAAATATTTTACAGTTTCCACAGATATAGGTTATATTATTTGTAACTTCACTTTGGTTTTTGGAGAGATTTTAGGGATTTATAGTCGAATTCCTACACTTTTTTTAAAGATAAGATAAGAAGTACTATATATTGGTCCCATCCAAATTGGGACATGGCATTGTACAATACAAATTAAAAGACTTGAAATAAACATTTCAAAATGTCTCAAACCAACTCTTTCTGGAGTGATTTTAGGGATTAGTAGTGCTGCAGTTGTGATGCCCCCTAACACATTCAAAGCTCTGCGTTCAGACAAAAGAAGGGAAGCGAGGCCGCGGAGCCGTGCCTTTGAACTCAGTTGTATATTTGCAAATAGTGCTAATCTTTTGTTGTCTCAAATCCACATGGGAGAAGGCTTGTGTTTACTGAGTGTGGGCCATTAGGAACGACTCTGTGTTCCTGTTGTGCCAAAGTGTGGACGCCTAAAAGTGAGGCCTGGATTTACATAATGGGCCTTTGCAACACTCTGATATTTAATATTTCTGCCAGTTGGAGGCCGAGTGCTCGAGAGAGAGGATTTAAATAGAGATGCAGGGAGAATAAAGCACGTGGAAAAGTCTCTCTGTTTGATATCAAGAATCTGGAACATCTGCTTCTGTTTCGGGACGTAAGATTGGACGGAAGTCTTTGAACTTTATCAACATTTAACATTCATTTCCCCCTTGTTTTGGTTTGTCTTCGTGAGGAAAATTGATGGAAACTAAGTAGTGAAGAACTGACTTAGGTTATAAAAAGATCCACAAAAGAGGCGCTTGTTTGACCTTTCGCTTCTTCTCCAACAGATGTCACAAGGAAATGTAGTTGTGTCTTATTTTGGACAAAGAGCAAAGGTTTGTTTTCTTTTGAACAAGAAAGAGATGTGTAAATTAAACAAGAACAACATTAACTTTGCAATAATAATTATCCTGACAACATGATTTATGTAGCAGATTGAGAACTAACCTCCAAGTCAACACTATGAACTTATAAAGAACCA